GGATTCACTTTAAATTTAATTTCAGGTGACCTTCTCTTGAGTGTGCCTCACACGAAAAAAGATAAATATTTGATAGTAATTCGTACCTCTCCATCTGATCCCAAAACAATTGTGTGATATTTTGCGGCAGATACGGCAACAAAAGATCTTCCTTTCAAATACTCCACCACCCTCGGCGTGTAATTAGAAGCAGAGTTGGAGGTGCCATAACCGAGCTGTCCCTCTTTATTGCAACCCCACGTGTAAATTTCGCCTGCCTCCGAAACTACAGCCGTGTGTTTATTTGCTGCAGAAACTGCCACAATTCTCGATTTCAAGGCACTCACCCGACGTGGGGTCGACTGGGTGTCAACAGACGTGTATCCAAGTTGCCCCTCTACAGCAAATAAGTGAAACATATACTTTAAAATCTATGATTTCATCAGCACCCTGTCCTCAAGTTTATCCAACTGAGAAGTTGCTTTAACCATATAATTTCAAGATCATATGTATAAGCTGAATTTTTCTACATCGTTTACCTCTATTAGAACCCCATGTTAGTACTTCTCCACCCTCTGTGGCAACAACGGTGTGATGCTTCGCTGCAGCTATAGCCCTTACACGACGTGCCCCTAAACCCGAGGTAACTTGACGGGGAGTGATGACTGCAGCTTGGCCACTACAAGAGACAAAACATTAAACCTCAATTGGCTTTTAATAAAATAAGCTAATATTCTAAAGGGAGATATAATCATGTGATTAAATTGATAAAATGTGAACTTTATTAAAAGATAAATAGCAATAGATCCAACCGATGCACCTAGATCTATAACACGTGCAACTTGAACAAGTGACAGACAAGCAACACATGAATCTTCTGCTGAACAGCAAAAAATCAATAAGCAAAACCGATACTCCAATAGCCAAACAGGCGCCCCTGAACTTTAACATTCTTGATGACAATATGTTTTATAAAGCCTCATTATATCATAAAGTAAAAATCACAATTACCAATTAGGATAACTTCAAACCCAAATATTAGCAACTAAATAAAATTATCCTGCTCATATAGAAGTGACAGACCAATGCATCTTTGCTGGAGTGTGAAAAAAAAAAAAAAAAAAAAAAAAAAAAAAGAAATGACTATTCAACACTCACCTGTGTATATCAAACTCAGGATGCCCAAGGCGGCCACCTCTTCCAAAACCCCAAGTGTAGACTTCCCCACGAGCACTAACTGCTACACTGTGGAACTTAGCTGCGGAAATCATTTTGATGAATGAACCATGAAGAGAATCAACTTTGCACGGTAACTTTTGTATGTGCGCATTTCCAGTTCCAAGTTGATAATTAACACCACTGCCCCAGCTGAAGACCTCTGTTGTTACTGAAAATAATAATATATATCATTGGTAATGAGAAGGGAAAAAACAAAACAAAAACAAAAAAGAAACAGTTTGTATTTAAAAAATAAAAATAACAAAACAAGGAGAATTTACAGAATTCAAAGCATACTTGAATTGTTATCCTTTCCAAGAATCTGTAGCACAGGCCCCGATAAAAGGTCAACAGGCATTCGGGATTTTGAATCCTCCAATGTTAATGAGGCACCAAACTGGAGAAGGACACAAGCAACAGCCAGATGTCCAAAATGCAGAGCTCGATGAAGACTACTCCATCCCGATTCCCCATCCTGAAAAGAAGACAACCGAATTTTTTAGAACTGAAACTATTCTGCATCAATGGAGGAAAAAAAAAATCATAATCCAGAAATTCCAATTAAAACTAAATGATCAATAGTCCATAAAACTATAACATCAGCCCATAAGAGTTATCAAACTTGCTATACGTAGGAAGTGTTAACTATGCTTGTGAACAGATATGAAATTTTCAGAAACATGCAAGGTTTGACTCATCCAAACAACTTTTTTTTCGCATTATCCACTTTAAATATAGAAAATTACAAATTTTGTTCTCATTCCCCTGCTCCAATCCTTAAAAGATTCTTCCACTTACTCACCTCTCCAGATTATCTTCTGCTGTAGTTGAGATGACAAAAGCCAAAAAGGATCAAATACTAATACCAAAACACAGATAAAGAAACTAAAACCTGCATGTGATAACAGTAATTGTGGAACAACTAAGTATCACTCCCCAAAGCAACTAATATGCATGATCAAGAAGATTAGGAGAATATACCCGAGCATTAGGGTCTGCACCAGCTTCAAGAAGCCTTCTAACAATAGGGACGTGATTTCTCCAGGTTGCAATATGCAGCGGGGCCACACCAAAAGTGTTTCTCGCATTCACATTCCCCCCATGTTTTTTAAGCAACGATAACGCTAAATCTAAATCAGAGACAGACCCCTCCCTTGCAACCAACCACAGATCCTTATTCTGAGGGGCAGACTTACGAGGAATTTGGGTAGCCTTTTTCTGATATGGCGGCAAGATCACATCACCCATTGTTTATTCAGATTTGCTGGTTATAAGGAACTCACAACTTATACAGATACTTATTATAAATTAGAGTAGATAGAGATCTTAAAGGTCCAACTGGGAAAATGGCATGGAATGAAATACTCAGATCAGATATAGATAAAGCTATTGATCCGAACGGTACGCTATCAGTTTACACCAGAGAACATAAATCAGTCCGAGTCAGATAGTTCTGAAATGCCACCAGTGCACCATGGTTTCCCAAATATCCTGAAGAAGAAGTACGCTCTGCAAAACTAAGCCTGCCATCAAAATATATTTGTTCAAAAAGCAAACCACTGAGTTCAAAATCTGAACAAAAGAGTCATATGAGACCATATAGATGTAACAGCACATCAAGCTCCTCAGGAACCAATAGCCCCCTGACGCAATCGATTATGGTGCACAAACAGTAGTGCTCATATACCAAATGTGGAATGCTGTAATAAGAGATCAAAATCCAACCTAGCAATACAAACTATTTACTGAAGCAAGCAACAAATGGGTAGTGCCTCTCAGTACATTATACTGCATAATAAGTAGTCAGACTACCAAAGGATAAAAAATCTATCAAGATCTTGATGATCATTGAAGCTCCAAATTCGAAAAGAAAATAAGACGGCTCCCGTTAACAATAAGTTGTCACAAAAAAAATTTAGATTTCCAGTGAAATTCCAAATCTTCCAACACAGCTCACAGCATAATCTACGTTCTTAACAATTCAACCATCTTCAAACCCATACCAACCAAACAAACTAAATGATCTGAAGTTTTTCTTCACTTGTTGATGTAGCCACAAATTAAAAAAAAAATAAAAAAAAAAA